AAGGTTTACAATTTCTTTTACTCAATTCAAATGAACTTTCTAACTACTTCTGCACAGAAAGGCATAACTTAAATGAAATTTCAAAACTGTCGAGCGCTTTATTGCACACACAGCAAAACTTCCATAACCGAAGCTCATGTAAAGTAATAATATAAAAAAACTTTTAAGTGCCTCGTTCGAAAAATTCTGCAAAGGCTAAATTCCGGCCTTTTTTTCCCCCGGATACTTAGAATCAAGCAAAGTTACAGGGCCAGCAATCATGTAGTGACAGAGAAATTTGCAAATACAACGGTGGGTCTTTTGCATCGAGATGAATAAAAACTGAAAACATTCCAAATGTCCCGTAATGTTTTCAAAGCGGAAAATACCGATTCAGATCGAAAAAGGTACGCAGCTTCAAAGAGGTTTATAAAACAAATGCGCTGGATTTGAAAAAGAGAATAAATATGTATCTTAAATCCATTTAAAAACATATGATGAGATCTCCAGAGAAAAGAATAGTCCAGAAAGCAGGGGTCGACTACATATTACTTAAAAGCCGCAGAATTATTTTAAACTTTTATCTTTTACAAATAATTAGGCACTAAATGAGAGTTTTCATCTGTACAAATAAATAAGTGAAACTCCAAACATCCCAAGTAGTTGACACCACAATACATCCACATATCAAAAGTCCGGTCAACTGCTTTTTTTTGTGTGTAAGACAAATATGTAATTACGGCTAATTCAAACGTGGGAATTTTATTTTTCCTTTCAACGAAGATTATGTAGTTAAAGAAAAGAAAATTTTTTAATTTCTGTTAAAAGAAACACTTTTTTCGATGAAATTCGATAATAACCTTTATTTTCACCTGTATAAACAAATAGCTTAATATCAGTTTCAACCAAGGTAAAAAATTAATTTATTTTTACAAACGTATGCTCTACAATTAAGCACATAATTATATTCTGATGTTGGATATCTTTAGCTGAGTCCTCCTAAAATGCTTAGATCATTACGTAACATTATCATACGTTTATCATTTCATACGTTCGAAGTACTTTCAATAGGCGAAAAGCAAGATCATAATTTTAGATCTTTAATAATTTATTTTTAATAATACATTTAGTACACAATTTAGCTTACAATACATCCGAATGAAAATTTATATGAGCATTTTTTCTAATGTTTTAATTCAAAACGATGTTTGTAATACCAGATATTACACGCAAAATAGTTTATTCATTCTAATTATTTTTACTGTCTTGCACGAAGTACACGAACTATAATCGCGAAAAACTTCGGTTATCCGATTTCAACGGAAATATCCATTTCGGACGTTCTCGACACCATTCTGATTATTATTTTTTTCATGGTATCTGTGCAAACGGACAGAATAAAGGACTTTTTATTTCAAAACGCATTGTAAAATATATTCAATTTGGATTCAAAAGAGACTTTTTCATAATGTCTGTACGTACTTACGTACATACGCATCTAGCATAACTCAAAACCGATTAGCCGTAGAGCATTGAAATTTTGTATGCTGTAACATCTACTTGTGCACCTCCCTTTTTTTACTCCAATCGTCAATACCAAAAGTATATATATGCACCGCGAGAAAAAAGAAAGGAGGAAAAAAGGGAAATATATATATATATATATATATATATAATAATTTATTTCCTAAACCGTATTGATTAATTGATTATATTATCTCCTAAGTTTAATTAAAGTAGAATTATTTTAAAAGTGTGCATCCATACTGGTAAGTTATATTTTGAAAGATGTTTTGAAGTAATTTGAAAGCAAAATGTTAATAATGTTTTAACGGGGACTGGAGTTAAATCATCACGAAGAATAATATTACAATTGCAAAAGTAAAAATTAAAACATGTAATTATTGTCATTGATCGGAAATTAGTTGACTTTTCAAGGGGAACAAACAAACAACTCCCGTTCAATGATCAATAATTGATAGAAATACGTAAATATGAAAGTGTTTCGTCTTTACTCGAGTTATAAATTAAAGCCAAACCGGCAATTCTAGTCAGGCCAAATATTTCCGCGAATAGTTGTTACTCAAAGAACTGATTCTCATGAAGCATTTTAGTCAATTCAATTTGGAGTAAAAATCAATTACTGTAGAGAAATCTTGTAAAACTCGAGTAATCGTCCCCGACACTATCATCTTTATGTATTTGAGTACTATATTATTTGTAGAAATTAAACATTGGAAATTGTCATTATGAAATCGAAATCAATGTAAAGTTGAAATAAACATAGAAGATTATAAAAAAGATAAATAATGCAAACTTTGCAAAAACAAATCAAAGAGAACATAAAAATAATATAAAAATAATATAAAAATAAAATAGAAAATAATATAAATAAGATCAGTGAATGAAGATATAAAGGCCAGAAAGGTATTAAGTAACTTACATTCTTTCTAGTGGGGGAGTTGGCAGTGTGTTCTCTTCGTGTCTGACTCAGATAAACTTAGGAGATAATATAATCAATTAATCAATACGGTTTAGGAAATAAATTATTATTAACTAACTTTGCAGCAATTGCGCAAGTAATAATAACTTGTATTCGCACTAAATGGATTTAAGTTCATACAACATTATATAATGTCAGAAAAAGCTTATGAAATAGACAAAAAAGACCTGTGAGGTCAAGAATTTTGCTCATTGAGCTGCAAAATCTGAAAATAAAATTAAAAAGTAATTCTTCAAGCTATAGCCTACGTGTAAAGTGATACTTCGTTCCTATGCAAATAAGTATAAACACATAGTAAATATCCCATTGCAATATAAAATGTAAAAACATAGAATGCATGAAAAAATAATAAAGAAAAGCTACAGATGAATGCTTAACTTGATTGTAATTTAAAATTAAAAATGTATGTAAAATAATGTGTAAGCTATCTCATTACATATTAGAAAAAATACAACAAAACATCATATTAAAAATAATAAGAATCATAAGCAGCGGTAAATGGAATAATTAACTTAATTCGAACATCATCCTGGACTTTTCAAGGGAAATGCATATTTGATATTCGAACTCTGCTAAATTCCGGAACGCGTTTCGTCGAACATGCATTGAAACTGATAGCCAACAAATTATTTATCATAAAAAGTCCCAATATAAATTAATCAACGAAATAATTTGTCAATAAAAACATTCCTATTTAATCATTTCCCACGCGTTCTAAGATAATTGCAATAATGAAAACGAACAAGAAAAGGAAATATTTTAATATCTTTCTCTTGAGGCAGGCATAGCATAATTTCGATCTCATTATGAAAGTATCTGGGACTGAGGAATTCTCAGGATATGCAATATAAAGAGAATAGTGAGTTGCTTAAAATATTTCATACTTCAGTAACGAAATAAACTAGTGCTAAATGAATGTCAATATATTGTTCGCTTTGTTTAAAAATAAGTAATGTATCATTTCTTCAATTGTAGGTATAAATATGCACCGATTTTGCCAAATAAATGTTTATGTAGACTGTTTTTGAACTATAACAAACATTAATACAAATTTTGTAATGTTACTGCGCAAAACTATTTTCGAAATCTTCATAGGAAGGCAAGTTTTGATTTTTTAAATTGATAAAAGATTAAAAATTTATATTTTTGGAATAAAGTTTTGTTTTGTTAGGGAAATGAATTGCTGTAAGAAGAAAAAAAATATTTCTGAATTTCATAACATTAGTTAAAGCTGTTTTATTTCCCCCTCATTCATAAGCAGCATCTAACAAAATATTTTCAGCAATTTATAATAATTAAGAATAACGTAAATAATCAATTATCATCTTCATTCATAAATTGATTGGAAAAGGAAAACTTAAACCATTCACTCCGCATGAACATGTGCATCTGGATGCCCGAATTTTGAAGTTGGAGTTTCATATTTTGTAAAACTTTAAAGAATTTTTTATTAACAAACTCAACAATTTGTAAAGGAGCAGGGTCAACACTGTACGGAATAAAACAGTTTTATCTCCAGCGCGAGACTTTTCTGCTGGAAATTCTAACGATCTGTTGTTCACTAATATTTTGTGACTTTGCTGCTGAATTCAGTTTTATGTGACATAAGTGCAAAGAACATGACATTTAAGTTAATACACTCGGCGTTAATAATAAAAAGGGAAAAAAGTTTTGCAAGCTATCTTACTGAACATTGATGTGATAAACTGAGAAAAGACTGAAATATATAGAAACATTTATGCCAACACTTAACACTGCATTTTGCTGTTGAACTGTATAGGCGTTAAGTGCGAAGAAAATTATGTTTAATAAGTAAGCTAAAAATGCAAAAAGAAATGGGTTAGCATGAGTGAGTGTAGCAGCACACTGGTAGACTGCGAGCTCAGCCAGAGCGCATAAAACCTTAACAAATCCTTTTAGGCAATGCTTAAAATCTGTAACGTTTCGGAATATTTATTTATTTATTTTTATACGAACAACACTGACGAAATTCAGACAGTTTTATTTCTGGAAATTGCAGATAAAAAAATGCATATAACGGGAAAAAATGGCGTTAAATCTTTAATTGCTTTCCTAAAGTGGAAAATATTATCATTTCACTTAACTGCGTTATCTGCACATCACACTCACAGAATGCTATGCAGCGTTTATGTATACTAAACACTTGTTTGCATCATGGATGTTTACTAGTCCACGGGATTATGACTACCGTAATATTAAAAATGAGCTCAACTGTTTTTAAGCTTAAAAATTCAAAGGTTACTTTCACAGCCGTGAATATCACCCTTCAACTAAAACGTGTCCCTGTAGTCATGAAAAATGACCGCTGTCTGGAAATGTTTCAGCTTACAAAAGTTTACTTAGGAAAGTTCTACGTTCCCACATAGGGTAAATCTTGTATTTTGATCCAATAATTTAGTCGTCCTGGCTTCCACAATACTGAAATACGGATCAAGCAAATACTTCTAAAACAGCTAAAGACAGGGATTGTAAGATAAAAACAAAATTACATAGTTACCTTCTTCGTCAGCTGGCTAATTTTTTCCTCAAGGGCTTCTATTCTCATCTGCTGTTGCTGGTAATCCGTGTCCAACCTCAAAAGTTTATCCTCTATGGTAAACATCCGTAGACCGATGATGGCCAGCACAAAGACGCTGGAGAAGAACATAAAGTACAACACTGCCATTCTCGAGAAACCTTCCCCCTTCTTATCCGGCCCACAGCACATGGAATGGTTGCTGCTGGACGTGTCGTTGTTGCTCTGGGACCTCATATTGCTGCTGTTGTTGTTGCTGTTTCTCATGACCATGCATTCTCTGAACTCCCGACGCGGGCTGGGCATATTCAACACCTGCTCTTTGGCTTGCCAGAGTTTGGGATCATGCTCTGGAGATTTCAAACTGTGCTCTGGAGACTTAGGGCCATGCTTCTTCGGGCTGGTGCACCGCTCCTTGTTGCACTTTTTGCTTTTGGAGGGTGTACCGCTTTCCATGACGCGGTATTATGCAACAGTACACCAATTAAGCATGACGACTCCTAAAACGGCAAACTCAAATTGTTCACAACGCACTGTACCATTGCGATTTCGAGGATATCATATGCTAATCATATGAAAGCAAAAAAATATTATTTGTATCCAGTGAAAAGCGGGAACAGTATCCAATTGAGTAGTAAACGAACACTCAAATCAGATGCACATATATACTGTACAAACAATAGCGCTACTGTATACAAATTCTCCCAAAATTGCCTGTCTGAATATTAAAAATTTCAAAGCATGTGAAATTCCAGAATTCGCTATAATTTGTAATAATACAAATTAAATGTTATGAACATATTTATTTTTCTGAGACAGTTGTACCTGATATAGATTCACAGCATCTCTTAATGTCGTGTCACAAATCAATATTCGGATTAGTTAGTATTTGCAAGGAGGGGGTAGCATATAATCTACCTGCTAATGCGCAAGGAATACCATCTATTTTATATTTATTTCCATTGGGTATATTTTCTGATTAAGCAGCCGGTATGTCACATGAAAAGACGCAAGACAGGCAAACACTCCATGTATGTTACGACAAGCAAAGCACGTGGTTGTTCGATGTTATTCAACACAACCGATAACGGCACACAAGCCCGCGGAGAATCTGAACGAGAGTTTCACCGCAAATGCTCACGAAGCGACTGAAAACATCGCAGAAGCGTGGAACTCGACGAGCGCTCAAGGGTTGCCGCATGTTTTTAAGTTTTCGCCAAATCGCCATGGCGATTTCCTTTCTCTCTTCCCATTAAAAAGAGGATCTCAACGTTTTTTTGCCTCATGTACCCCTTTCATCATTTCTAGACGATTCTCTCCCTCCTTTCCCAAACTCAAAAAATGCATAAACATCTATTTAAAATGTACTTTATAAATGTACTTTAATGTACTTTATAAATTAAACAAGAAAAAGCGTAGAAAATGTCGATAAATATCAAAATTTGAATAAAAGTACTTTTTTTTTTTTTTTTTTTTTTTTAAATCCATGAACTAAAATTAAATTCTGACTGCCGCACCAATGGGCCCGGGTTCTAATCGACAAGACATGGATGTAAATTGTCTGTCGCTTCATAGGAGGCAAAGTTGGTCCACCTATTATGAGCCTCCATAATAAAGTGAGCACCGCTTCGGGCCTTAGTAGTGGGCAACAGCTAGCGCCCGCCATTGGAAATAAAATAATAAATAAATAAAAGGCTGATCGCATCCCCCCTGAAACTATAAAGCTCCTAGCTAGGAATAGTCCCCCCCCCAGTTTGAGAATTCTACATTAGAACTCCACATAACCGGACCTAACATATTCGGAACTCCAGTCATCCGGATGTCTCATTCTTTTTCCTAGGTTTCCACTTCTTAAGTAAAATTGAACCTATTACTTTATTTACGTATTTTTAAATTTTTTCAGGTTGATTTGAAAATAATAACTACATTATTAAATGTCCACTAAGGCATCCTTTCCCTTTGGCAAACTGCCTTCGAGTGCTTTACTATGTAACGGGACATGCGTTCAAATAAACCAAACCATTATTGCAAATACTCAATTGAAAATGCAATATTAAGAACTGCATTGTTAATTTTCTAATCTCCGTTTCATTTCAGCTGGGAACAGATATGTTGTACGCTTTCTTTTAAATAAATACAAATTAATTACTTTGTTTAATTTTACCACAAAGGCCAAAGTATGTACGTATTTCACTCAGAAGTTTCCTCAACGACTCGATGTATCCACACCTAAACTGGCACAAATATTCTTCGGCACCTTAGAAAAAAAAAATACTGGAGCGGAAAGCAGATTCCATCAACTGCCCGTAAAGCCAAGAAATATCTGATAAACTGCACAAGCAGTGTTATGAGAAAAATTATGATTTTTAACTTTGACAGCGTACTGCACATTCTGTTCATTGCAGAGTAAGGTATGTGCGAAACATGAACAGGAATAGCAATGAAATTGTAATATCACTCAGGCAACAAGACATGAAAAGTACGCTATTTAATTTTCTGTGATTTTTTCGCAGCTTTGAAAAGTCTAAAAGAAAACTCGCAATTTTTGAAAACCAAAGGGAATGCTTCATGAATGAAGTGATCGATGACGGGAAATCGTAAGAAATGTAAGCTTTCCGAGGTTCCAATTTTTATAATTGTAACCTTATTTTGATTTTTTCTTGCACTGTCATCTTCTCTGACGCTCACATATCATACCATGACACTCACAGACATTCACTCTTTTCAAAAGGAAAGAATTTTAAAATATTATTTGCGGGCGTAGAAAATATAAAGGCATTATATTAATAATTATTTTCTCACTCGTTAGTTAACTGAAAGGTTGTTTTAGTAAGTGATTAAGAACTACTTATTTTAATAGAAGAAAGCAGACTTCAGGAGAACTTTACGAAGACAAATTTTCTAGAATTGTTACTATTTATTAACTATAATAACATACATCTGAATATTTTTGGTATATTAAAGGTTTCTAGATTATTCGAGAAACTGCAAGGATATTTGAAGTGTTCTTAATCTAGCCAGTGGTTACTTTTGTAATGCTTTCCCGCATAGTTTCAAGAAAACCGAAAATTTTCGTCTTAATGCCTTTGTGTCTTTCTACGCTACCCTTTTGATAAGCCTTTTTTCTAACCAACGGTTAAAGCATTAAAATAACTAGCAGAGTGCCAGTGAGGATCGCATTAATCTTAATCGTACAGTATTTGGCTATCATTTAATTTTAATTGTTAAAACAAATCTACGCACGCGAACCCAAACTATAATTTTAGTAACAAATAAAAAAAGAACACTTCATTATTCTAGACGCAGTGTTAGCCTTTATTCACGTATAAAGGATAAAACTGCTTATTAGTACACTGCTAGATATTACAAATATCTCCTGCAAGTGAAGTGACAACAATTTCTGTTTTCCCAGGACACAAAACTCTAAGAGTTGAAGTAATAATATTTGATTGAGTAAGAAAAAGAAGAGGAAAAGAAACATACGTAATTTTGAAAATAAGAGAAGAGTGGTTAACATATACAGTACAGACGACTAAAAATTAATTACATGCATTTTTAATATTTGCATTCTTACATACGGAGGATCATATTAAAGAAGTATAATGAAAGCATATATAATTTTCAAAATAATTTAAAAACTGCAGTACTACTTTACGCCAACTCTTTCTCCTTAGAATGACTAGCAGAGTCGCATGCCATACTATTTTCTCTCCTTCTTTAGAAAAAAGCTCTTTGGAAACTACATACATCTCCTCGTCTGAAAACTATATACGAAAAGCAGAACACTTTTTGTGAAATATTTAGTAATCCAAGCTGGTGAAGCTTTTATGATAAATAAATTGAATTTTTGTAATAAGATTTTTGCGACATCACGGATACAAATTGTACTTTAAATTGTGTTTTACGCAATAGTATAAAGGGATGTAACTAATAAAGGATTTCTGAATCGTCTTGAAATCTGATCCATTCTTTAAAAAAATGGTTATAAAGTGAAACATCCTTGAATTCCAACTTGAAATAAACATCCTTGAATTTCATTATATATATACAGGGTTATTCTAAATTACTTTTACAAATTAAGAGGGGTGATAGTACTCATCCAGATGAGCAATAATTACCATAGAGCATAGTGTCGCATTCCACTCTGAGAGGCAGAAAAGAAGAATATTAATTAACGAGACCAAACGTTGCACAATCAGTTTAGTGAAAAACTCACAGCGAGTGTACAAAACGGATAAAACCGAAAACTTGGTGTTCAAGTGTTAATTAGAGCTGAGACTTTGATGGCTAACACTCAAATGCACATCTTTGGTTGGCAAGGTCTCAGGCTCGCAAATGATTGCAACAATTAACACTCGAACGCCAAATTTTCGGTTTTATCCGTTTTGTGCGCTGTCTGTGAGTTGTCACTAAACTGATTGTGCAACATTTGGTCTCGTTCATTCGCTCTCCCAACACTGTTGTAGGCTCAGATTGCAATTCTAATATTCTTCTTTTCTCTTCCTCTCAGAATGGAATGTGGCTCTATGTTCCATGGTAATTATTGCTCATCTGGATGAGTACGATCACGCCTCTTAATTTGTAAAAGTAATCTAGAATCACCTTGTATAGTGCTATAAAGTGTAATTTCATTGTCTGCAGAGTTAAAGGGGAAATTTCCACATGAATTAGAGAGCTGTTTCTCTCCTCTGAATCAAAAATCTGTGAATCAGAGATCTCATTTGATTTTATGTAAATAAGAGATATAGTTTGTCTCTTTAAAAGAAAACATTTTTGAAAGACAAAAATAAAAAATAAAAAAAGGCTGATGTGTACACCACATGATTTCATTGTACGGGATATTAAAGTATACGCATTTTTCCTGCATTTCATTTACACTTATTTCTTAGAATTTCATTAGAGATATATTTCTCATTTAATTAATTCACTTTTCACTTCGAGGCAAGGCAAAAATACATAATTCAAAATATCTTCATTAAAAATTGAAATATATAGAAAGACATAAACACCAAATATAGTTAAAACAATTTAAAAAAACAATTTTTGCAGTTAATAAAATTGCAGCTTCTACGCAAAAACAAGCAATTCGGCTAAAGGGAATAAGGCAAGATTTTTCGGTACACAAAACTAAAAGTTTCCTTTTGGTCCTACTCGGCAAAAAGACACCGAAGGTGCAAAAAGACTTAATTCACTATTCTGCTAAGTTTCAAATGTAAACATGTATGGCTGCTATGGTAAAAAAAAAATTAGGCTTAGAAGCGCTTAAATAACTTTTAAATTGTTGATAATTCTACAGCTTTTGCATGCAGATTAACTAACGGCATGAAAACCTTGACTGGAAGAAGAACAACATAATTCAATAATTTTTAAAGCAAAAAATGCAAAATTTACCAACATATAAGGAAAAAAGACTGAGCTCATTGAGCCGAGTAACAGAGGGGATTATATATATATTTGGTGGGGCGTATTGCAACCTAAAAGGGAGGTACACAACTACACTACATGTTATAGCAGTCTTTTATACAAAATTTAAACGTTCTGAGGCTACTCGTTTTTGAGTCATGGAGATACATACATACGTACTTACGTACTGATGCCACGAAAGAAATCTCTTCTGAATTCGCTGTAAATCACTTTTATAATTCGTTTGGGGAAAAAGAGTCCTTTGTTCTCTCCTTACGTACAGGTATCAAACAAAAAAAAATGGTTAAATTGCATTCTATAGCGGTCAAAACAGATATTTTCGTTGAAATATGGTACCCGGAATTTTTCATGATTACAATACTTCCTTTATTTTTTACCAAAAAAAAAATCGTGTGTGATGATTTTAAATGAGTCCAGCTAGTACCACTTAATAAAAATATTTAATATTTCTAATTAGACATTTCATTATTCAAATGCCTTTTTACTTAAATCAATCATATTAAAAAGTAGTAAAAAATATTTTTAAGATCTGCGTGTATTGTTTTTCGATGATTTGTTGGCTACTCACCAACAGAAAGATTAAATGGCAACACTCTGGTGCGTGGGATAATAAATGGTTTGTTTGTTGCAATACATTACGTTCGAATAGACGAGACTGTGGATTAAAATTAAAAGATAAATGTCTTTTGCTCGCTGGAGATAAAACTGATTTATTTAGAA